ATCCGGCAGATGTATGTTCGTTTGATTTGCAGAATATGCAAAACATTTTTTACCGATGTGTTAAAATCAGAAGCTTGTGATTTGACTTTATAATTTTTGAACCCTTGTTTAGGATTAACCCCTGTGTATTTATTACCTTTTGAGCTATTAATCAAAATACTTGCTTCTTGGCATTCAGTTTTGATTTTAATGAACTCTATTAATTCACTTACTTCTATATTTTGGTTAGATGTTCTTTTTCTGTGGAATTCAAGAGCTAAATCTTCAGGTAACAATTTAAGAATTATTGGGTTCAATAACTGTCCGTATGAACCGCTAGTAACATCTAAACTACTTAAATTTCTAACGCAGATTTGTAACTGATCATAGAGCTTTCTTAACTCAAAAACATTTGAAGAACTTTTAACTGGTTCTAACTGTAACAAAATCTGCATGAATTTTGATATAATAACATCTTTACGACCAAACCTCTCTTCTAAACTTTTAATGCATAGATAATAATTTTCTTCAGATAAAGCATAACCAGAAACACAATTATATGCTGAACCAGATAATAAACTTTTCAAATATGTAAACTTATCTATTTTAGATAAACTTGGATTAGAATGAATAGTATTATCATGCGAATTAAAGAATTCGAGCCATTTACTGGGATCACCAGCAAATTTTTCAATATTTAATTTAGGTAACTTTACTGAAGCACTACTTGTAACAACATTATTACCATTCAGAGTACTACTATTACCATTACTAGTTGTAATTATACTTCTTTCAACAACTTCATTACTTTTAATTTTCTTTACTTTACTAACAATCTTAGCTTTAAACGTTATAATTTTCTCATCATACTCTTCACATATAAGTAGTTCGTTATCCTATTCTTTTTCATCAATTATGAGAGCATCGATCTTTGAGTCAAGACTTTTAAGTTTCTCATGGTATTCAATTAACAATTCATATGATGAATTTAGATCTTCTAGATGTTCTTTACTTAATTCTTCCGATAATAATTTCTCAAGTTTATTTAGAAGTGTAGTAACTTTACTACGTACAATAGCACGTTTCTTTTTCTCTTTTGCTAAATCATCCATTATGTTTCATTTTCAAAGATCAATACTAAGAACAAATAAATCAAAATTCTTACCTTTCAATAGGTAATTCCCCTTTTCGCGGGTTTCAGACACCAAAAAAAATGTGTGTCTCCTTCATGAGTCATAATTTCTCAAGTTAATTTTGTTTTCAGGAAACGGGTTGGGAGAGCATTAGAATTTCAAATCAAAACTTCAAGATTTCACAGAACACAGAAATAACATTTATTAACAATAAACTTAATGATATAGTATATTACTTCCACCTATAGCAGCCATGAGAACATAATCAAGCATAAAAAAAGTATGACATGCGTCATTCTTCAAATTCAAGCGTCAAGTGGAATATTTTTCATCGGCACGCATCAAGAGCGCCACCTATCTACCGAAAAGATGGAACAGGGAATCTAAAAAAAAGTTTCTAAAATCACCAGCTTGTACCTGATAAGTAACTTTTACCTTTTAATCTCTAAACAATCGCCAAATTGCACCAAGGTAGTTAACGTTAATATGTAAGTACCCAACATAATAATTAAACGGATGAGGAATTCCTTCTTAATAGTAAGATGAAGGCAGTTTTTCTTATATTTAGATAAAAGTGCACAGCATGGTGGGAATAAATTCCAGAAGTGAAATGAAAATGAGTTTGGCATAATAACTGCAAGCAGTGACATTTAATGATTGTTGTAGCTTTATTTCTAATATCATAAAGAAGTATGTATTTGAGTTTCTATATATATATATGCAAGATAAAAAATATGTGATTCAAAATTATAATTTAAACTAATGGTAAAACATTAATTCCCCCTCTCTGTTTTAAAACTCGCAATAACTTCTTTGGATTTCGTCATTTCTAGATCATTCTATGGCCTGCACAGTGCTGATGATGTAATAATTGTGAACTGAAACTTTTAACTCAAACCAAAACTTTTCTCGTGTGCTTCCATCTTGCATAACTATATACTTCAGCTTTGCTGTTTGCCTTGCTAGAATGTAATTTTGCTTGCTATCGCTATAATATCAAAACTGTAAATGTTCCTGAATATGCACACTTGAATGCCAAGTGAATTGTGGCTACAAACGTCAACTGGAAAATAAAAATGGAATTAAAACTGTCTCAACTACCAAGTTATTTAGATACTACGGAGTCAACACATTAGCATACTACGCAATCAGAATTTTTCATTTCCTATATGGATCGAAGTACGCAATAACACTGCTCCCGTCTTTCCTTGTGCTTATATTATATCAATTAGTCCTGACAGGATAGATTCCTGCAGCCTGAGACCTCATTGGAAAATTTATTCAGCTTTTCAAATCATCATTTTGTGATAATTTCAAAGGCAGTGTGAAAGAAGTGAACCATCAAATCTGTTTTTTCAGTGTTTAAAAAATAACCTATCATGCTTTTGCTGTGGTGCTTTGCAAATGCTTCGAAAAAATAATCATGCGATAAATAGAGAGAAGTTATTATGATTTTTAAAATAGAGAGGGAGAATTAATGTTTTACTGTTAGTTTAAATTATAATTTTGATTCACATATTTTTTCTCTTACATATATATATTTGAGTATATTTTCATTAGTTTAATTTCTATGATCTTTTTTAGAGAGATAAATTTTATCTTCATTTAATATTATCAAATGAGCTGTAAACAAATTACATTAAGTGGTACCAATTATGATGGTGAAACATTAAACTACTTTTAAACTGAAATGTTGAGAGATTTTTCTGGATACTTACAGATTAATGCAACCACCTTGGCACAATCTGGTGGTCTTTTACAGGTGGAAAGGCAAAAAATTGCTTAGTGGGTTACAAGTTGCTGATTTTTCTCAACTTTTTTTTTTTAAAAAAATCTCCAAATTATCAATATTTATCATAACTTGTCAAAATTTTATCTATGTATCAAATGAAAAAATGTTTTTTTAATTTTAAGATTCAAATTTCAAGTATTAAATTAAGATTATATATGACACATTTAAAAAATAAAATACATTTTTGTGAAACCCTTCTTTAATTTTTTAGTGTTGTTGTTCTCCCCATGCACACAATGATCTGTTTTTGCTTATCTACCCATCTCATCTCATTGTTCCCTTTGGTGATTTGGGTGCAAAGTATTGTGTTCCTGCAAAACATTTACTGCAGTTCTTTCAATTGCTGAAAACTCCACAAGCTATATTTTAAAACTAAGTTGAAGGCAAAAAATATCATGATTTGTCTCTTAAAAAACTGTTTGGACTTGGAATAGAACAAGAAGAACACCTATGAAAGTGGCGATGATACTTAAGTGAAGGATTGTTATGACCATAGTTGCTGGAGTATGTTTATGCACGGTTTCCAGTGTTTTGACACATTCTGAGTATCTGGCGGCTTCTACTGAGGCAGTTGCAATAAGTACCCTTTTCTATTACAAGCTTGCCATTTATTGCTTTATTCATGTATTTTGTCAGTACCATGTGTCATTAGTTTGGTTCAGCTCCTTGCCTGATGATAATTATCTTCATAACATTCGATCATGTAACCACTTTTTCATATAATTAGAGGAGTGTTTTTCTCTCCTTCCCCCACTGCTGCAATGGATTTCACAACTTGAGGTTTGTCAAGCTATCAACAAACTAGGCTAGCCTGTTTCTTCAAAAAAGAGGTGCGTGTATTCGAGAGGTTTCGAGTCACGGTGAGGGCATTCCTCATTTTTCATCTCTCCTGCTTCGAAATAACCTAATGACTCTACAGTTCTTTCCTTTGAAATAAAATCTTATTTTGTCGAAATAAGTTGCAGCGAGAGAATTATTATGAATAACAACTTTCTTCAGATAATGCATGCAATTGCTGAAAACTCCACAAGCTATATTTTAAAACTAAGTTGAAGGCAAAAAATATCATGATTTGTCTCTTAAAAAACTGTTTGGACTTGGAATAGAACAAGAAGAACACCTATGAAAGTGGCGATGATACTTAACTGAAGGATTGTTATGACCATAGTTGCTGGAGTATGTTTATGCACGGTTTCCAGTGTTTTGACACATTCTGAGTATCTGGCGGCTTCTACTGAGGCAGTTGCAATAAGTACCCTTTTCTATTACAAGCTTGCCATTTATTGCTTTATTCATGTTTTTTGTGAGTACCATGTGTCATTAGTTTGGTTCAGCTCCTTGCCTGATGATAATTATCTTCATAACATTCGATCATGTAACCACTTTTTCATATAATTAGAGGAGTGTTTTTCTCTCCTTTCCCCACTGCTGCAATGGATTTCACAGTGAAATCACTGGCTGCTCAGAGGGTTAATATGTTTATAAAGAGGTGTTGTTTTCTTAGGAAAATTAGTTTTATGTACGTCATTTCCAACCTATTATTATTTTTGATATTCTTCACAAAGGAAAATTGTGTTCAAATAATGACCTCTTGAAATATGACACAAAACAAAAATAGCTTCTCAGCCATTGTTCTTGATGAGAATAAAATGTTGTTCAAACATAAACATGGTTTAAGATAAAATAACACATCAAACAATTTAGAATGCACCAATGTGGCATCAAAAATGCTTAATATGACTTTAACAGAAAATTACCATAGTTAATTTATGTGGAAACCATTTTAAAATGATACATTGTTAGAAATGTTATAAGATACTGTAAGTGTAACAGTTTGATAAACATTGGCTGTATCTATATTATATGAAAAGAAATAAAAATGAAATATTTATTTGAAAATATGAAAGTTAACTTTCTTTGTAGATATTTGATTAAGTCAGAGTTGCTAATTCTTTTACACTTAGGTCTTTAACTATTTTTTAACTAGTAGTCGGTCTGTAATTGTTATTATTCTATTTAAGTCAAAAAGAATTGATACTCTTAGGTGTTCAAGTTCCTTTCAGTCTGTCTAATGTCATCTTTGTTTCTTTTAACAGAATTTGCATGAGATGACCCAGTTACAAGGTGTTGAATCAGATACGGTTTTTCTTGAAGAGACGGAAGCAAATATTTTAGCATATAAAGCTCATAGGTATTGTTATTATTTTTTTACATATCATTATTTTCAGTCCTGGATGATATGGAATGTGTTTTCACCACCATTTAGGAAAGAATGGATTAAAATAATTTTAATATAATATATATATGTATATATATATATATATATATATATATATATTTTTTTTTAAATGTTCTTAAAACAAGAAACATGCATGTTTTGTTTCAGATGCTTTTATATAGCAGAAGTGTATGCAACAGCTAACAAATGGGCAGAAGCAATGGCTTTATATGGGCGAGCTGAAGAATATACCCAGCAAGCTTTAAAAAATAAGGCACTGAAAGATAAAGTAAGTCTTAAAGTTGTTTTAAAAAGTATTACAGCTCTGACTTTTGTGTTTAATTTATAATTTTTTTTTCATTATTTCACTTTTAAAGGATATTCAAGGAATTCATTAAATATGTTTTTATTAATTAAAGGTCCTCCTAACTGATCATTTAGCCCATATAAAGTTTAGTATTTTTATGCCTATCTTATTTAAATATATCTGCTGTATTTTAAACTTATCTAATATCATCATTTGATATAAAATACTTATCATTTAACTTTTTAATGCAGCAGAATATTAGGTTATAATTTTAAAAATCAAAGTGTATGTGTATTATAGCAAAGAGACATGATTTATTGATATAACTGAAATTGCTTTATTTTTATCTTAAAATAATTTTTTACCCCATCCATGCCTTTCAGAAATTGATTGCTTTGCTTAAAGATCTTGCTATAAGGATTGAGGGTAACAAATACAGTGCATATTCCTTAAGCATTCTAGGAAACGAAGATTCTGTACCATCTGAAACAGTGAAGGAGAAAAAGGTTTTTATTATTATTATCCTTTTGCTTTGCTCTGTTTTCATGAATTAATGTCTGTCATAAGTAGCTTATGGTAGGTATACTAACTTCATATGAATTCTGAAATTTAAAACTGTTTACAAAGTCTTAAGAAAATATTATTGTATATGTATATCTGTTGATGTCTAGTGATGAAAATCCAAAGTAAAAATTTTTAAGTTGACATTTTCTGAGACATGGGTATCTGCAATGAAAAATAGAATTCAAGGAAAGTCGAAAGAAATATAAAAATAAAATTCAAATAAAACATCGTTTTTACTTTTGTATTTAAAAAAGAAACCCAGTTTCTTTGTCTGTATAATAAAGAAGAGATTGAACCCCACAGGACAAAATTTAGAAGTCAAACAACATGTATGATTAAAATGGAGGATAGGTAATGTATCCATAATTCTCGGTCAGTGTGCATCAAAAATGTTCATCTGGAGAGAACCAGGAACCTGCTACGTGTATTTCGACATCTGAGAAAGGGATCAGTATGAAGCAGAGGTTTGATGATCTGGAGAGAATTTTTATATTTACTAGAGGATTAATATCATAATTTCATATTTTCAAATTATTGTATTTACTAAGGCTATGTGACTGCTGCAAGATATGAGGAAGATTCTCTCTCACTGAAAGGGAAATATAGGGCCCTATAAGTGCCTTTTCAGGGATGCATTCATGTAGGTTTAATCTGGTGGAGGATTTTCTGGAAAGTGAGGATGTTAACCAGACAGGTTGGCCAATTAAATATGCAGACTTGAACCATACAGAGCATGTCTGAAACTCTCTTGAGAGAGCAGTTGCAACTCACCTCAGCCTTCTCAGAATCTGAAAAAAGTGTATCTGCAGGAGTGGCACTGACTGCTGCGACTAAATTTTTATCAAGGCAATTTGAAAATTATGTGTATTTAGCTTTGTTTATGGGATCTAATAAAATGAACATGTAGAATAACATGCGAGATTAATCCTTCTGAGCCCAGTCATATTTTAAAGTTGATTTTATTTTCTTAATTATATCATTTTCTTCGTTCATATAATTATAAAATTGGGCACAAGTCATTTTATAATTATAATGACAAATCAAAATTGCTTCATTTGTCAATCAAAATCGTAAAAAACAACCTTATATTTAGCGTAGGTATAATGAAACACTCAATCGATTTCGAGGGCAGCTAAAGGTCCCTCCTCATCAGGAGAAAGAAATACATAGAAAGAAGAAAATAGGAGAAGGAGTCACAGAAACATTTCATTATACCTACGCTAAATATAAGGTTGTTTTTTACGATTTTGATTGTCACATTAGCGTGTTTCTCTTCTAGTCTTGCTTCATTTGTCTCCATTGACACTCTTTCACCCAACCATTGAGTTGACATTTTTGTATTTATTATTTTTAATGGCAAGGCATATAACAGAAGCAATCGAAAGTCATTCCTAAGACAGTCTGTGGCACACCAATATTGTGGTTTCGGAGTCATAATCTAGAAGTGGGCCCACCAGCGGCCGAGCGGTAAAGTTGCTGAACACTGGTAGTTCGGTCCGAGGTTCGAATCCCGCGAACGGGCTGGCTGCATGGGCATTTTCGTGGTTTTCTGCATGTGTAACGTGTATACAAGCCAGTTCCCTTAGAAAGTCCTCCACGAAGGCATCCCTCCTCTTAGGCAGATAGCCCTCGAGGCTTTGCCATAATCACACACACACACATAATCTAGAAGTGCCCCACTGCGATGAAGGTGAGCTCTGTTCTTGGATTCCGTTAGATCACAGAGTGGGTAAAAATAATTGAGCAAATATACTGATTCGGTAAAGATGTTCACCCAGGCAATCATGGCCTATAAGTAGCCGCTGGCAGGCAAGCGAGATCTTCAGCCTTCCATTGTTTCATATTAGTGCTATTCAGCAATTTCAACTGTTGTCTTTGTTTCATAGATTGTTTTATGTTCAGCTTTTATGGAGTGGTATGACATATTTGAGTTTGTTGATTGTAATAGTGATGCACCTTTTTGTGCGAAGAAATCTGCATGTTTCTTTCGAAAAATGCCACTGTGTCCAGGGATCCAATAGGCTTTAGAGTAATTCTTGGCACTGAAGAACTTCATTTGATATAGGAGTTTCTAAAGAGCCAAGACCTTGAATTGCTGCTCTTAAATCTTATAGGATAGCATTTTCGAACTTATAATGTAGTGTCAATAATTGTTTCAGGGCCATCAAATATCTTTCAGTTTTTTCTGGTAGAGGCAGAGATGGTAAAAAGGCTAGAATAAACCCCCGAACCTGCAGGCGTTAGATCATCACTGTATGACCCATCCGTGTAAACATCCAATTATGATTTGGATATTTAGTAGTAATGGTTTCCTGGGCAATGTATTTCAATACCACTATAGATGTTTCATTCATTCTTGGTGATTGAATCAGTCAAGCTAAAGTGTGTCTCAATTTGGAACATAGAAAGGGGGTTTGTTGGCAGCACAATTCCTTGGATTAGTTTAGCCAATCAATTAGACTATCAGGACTTGTATCTCTCCGTATCTGCTTGGCGAAACATGACGTGTCCTGATTAGACAGTGAGTTTGACAACAAACTATGTCCTATTGAGTGTAGAAGAGACAACAAGATGAGAATTACCCTTTATTTTCCACGATATTATAGGTGCTCCCGCACTTCGGGATACAAAGACCAACCACTTGTGGTCTGAACGTAAAAGTATAAAAACTACTAACTAAATTTAAAATAAGAGTTAACTTTGAGTGCTCTACACAAATAACTAACACTAAGACTGGCCTTTTAAATTATTATGTATGTAGTATGCAAACCGTGGAAAACTACAATACGTCTTTCACTTTCAAGAGGACTAAAACCTCTGGCCTTAAAGGCAGGTCGCAAATGATTGCAAGCTCGCGTGAAGTATAGTGGCAAGAAGGCTCACTCTCTCCCCATCTAACTCTGCTCTTGGCAAAAAAAAACACAACTTAAATACTTATGCGTTAGCAAGTACAATTTGCATAAACAATTTAACGCGTTGATTCTGGCCAGAAGTGGAAAATAAGACATGATAGTAAAGTTTTAAAATAAAATAAACGTTAGTAAAACTTAAGATCTTTACAAGACCACAATCAATTAGACCTCATGCCTCCGTAATTTTATGAATTTTTTGTAGAAAACCCCACTGTATCTGGAGATTTCTAGTGAAACGGAACCAAGTAGTGAAATTGTGATTGTCCTGTATATATGAGACATATAGCAAACCTACTTATACTTATCCAATGCTGATGTCACATACTTATCTTGAGCATTATTTAGATTACCATTAGTTGTATTAGAACAACCACTAATTCTGAGTTCTTTGCCAGAATAAACAAATAATCTAATAACCTCTATCATACAGCATACCTAATCATAAGAAGCATAGTAAAACTTTTAAATATTTGTTAAAAAATTGCAATTTGGGCCCAGATAGCTTTTTGCATTGCTTTTCTAAACTGTTATACATTAGTGTGTCATTTTGGTACATTTTAGACTCCCATAAAATCTTAATATGTTAACTTTTTTAATAGTTCTTAGATTTTACCAAACGAATATATGCTAGTTTTATGAATTATAAAAAAAGTTTTTTAACAGTGCTGTATAATATAAAAAAAATTGATTCCTATATTTTATTATTTATTTATTTAATGTAATAAATGTGTTAAAAATCATGGAAAATGTTTTTATTTTCAGAATTTGATAGAAAGGCTTGATCAATATCATGAAGATTCCTCTTTAGTTTCTCAACAGCCTAAAATAGCTCAGTTTCCACCAGATTTCAAACCAATTCCTTGCAAGCCTTTGTTTTTTGACCTTGCACTTAATGAAGTGGAATTTCCTCCTCTTGATGATCGGATTGAGCAGAAGAAAGGTGGTGGAATAACTGGATTTGTAAGAGGGTGGCTTGGTGGATGGAAATGAACAAGTGCTACTTTATATGAAATATTTTATAATGGAAAGAATAATTAAAAAATTATAATTGTTTGAATGATTTTTATTACATATTTATTTCATGAAGCATTAATGTAAAATGATTATAGCATTAAAATAAAAAAAAGGGAGATGAAGACTAGAAAAATGCAACTTTAAAAAATATCATTTTCAATACTGATAATCGTTTATGCAGTTTTTATAATGAAAAAAATTCTCATAAGCAAATATTTGAACATATAACATCTTATAGTTTAGTAATAAAATCAGATTGAAAATTTTTAATAAAAAAGATAATTTTTATAGTTTTAATTTAAAAATGAGATTTTTAATTAAAAACAAATGTTTTATTGCAAAATTAAAACACTGCTCTTAAATATATTTTTTAAACAAATTTCATTGGATAATGAAAATATGTCATGTTTCTTTAATTATAATTTATTTAAGAATTAAATAAAACTTTGATTTTTATTCAAAAGATGCATTAAGATTTTATAATTGCTTAGCCATTTACACTGAAATCTGAAATAAAAATGTGCATACATATTAAATGAAATATCTATTAGGGAAACTGTATATAGTCATCTTGTGGATAATATTGGTTTAAAGAACACACTTCATTAATCAAAATTGACACTAAAAAGTCTGTATTTTCATGAAACTACTTGATTTCTCTGGTATAAAACTTTTAATCTCTTGTAGCTTCATAAAAGGTAGGTTATTTTAAATTTACAGTAAGCTAAGATAAATTTAGTCCTTTACTTTTAAAACCTTAAATTTCGTAAGTATCAAATATTCGCCTGCATTAAACATTTACATATTTTTTACAATATACTCTTTTTATAAATGTCTGATAAACATTAAATTCAGATTTAGAATTTTAAATTGCCAATCGTATTTCGTGCAAACGCTAAGTAGGAATAATTAAATATGTGATATCTATGAAATTTAAGGTTTTAACATGTTAAAGAATTAACTGGCATGGATGGTTAAAATGAAGTTAGAAACTGAATAAAATATTCTAGGTTGGCACACTTAATTAACAGGTGGCCATAATTAAACCAACAGTGTTCTATAGCGTGATCTATTTGCGAGAATGACGCCACATTTTGTAGGAAGATTAAACAAGACGGGGGATGAAGGATTCCGCGAAAAAAAAATTAGTTCCAAAAATCACCGCTACAGGAATATTTGGCGCTGTGTAATAGAAAATAGAGTGTTAACAAATGCAAATCAATACGGAAATTACCTTTTATTTAGCATTCAAATGAGGTTCAATGTGGCTGCCATTGTTGTGGACCACATATTGCATTCTGTGCACAGTATGCACAACAGCAGAAAGTAACATGTCTGCAGGAATCTCCCGTAGTCTGTGATATGTTATCCTTTAACGTAGCCAGGTCCTGGACCACTCCTTGATAGACCTTGGACTTAAGCTAACCCCATAGCCAGAAGTCGCATGGGGTAAGATCAGGCGACCTGAGGTGGCCATGCAGTTGCAAAGTAGCGGCTAATGACTCTTTCTGTTGTGAATTTCTGTCGTAGCATCTGTTGCACCCATACAGCAACGTGTGGAGGGGCTCCATCTTGCATGAAAATGATTTCCCCCAGGCATTGTCTTTGCTCAAGTGCCGGAATGACAAAGCTGTTCAACATGTGGCGATATTTCTCTCCGGTAACAGAACAGGTTTCCGGTCCTGTTGGGGTAATGTTCTCATAGAAAAATGAACCTATGATAAATTCCGCTGTGAACCCACACGAAACAGTTACCTTTGGTGAATGTAAGGGAATTGCTGTGACTGCATGTGGTGATTTGTCATCCCAAGTTCGGCAGTTCTGGGTATTCACAGTTCCATTCAGGTAAAAGTGGGCCTCGTCTCCCCATAAGATCATCCATCACGGCCAAGCATCATCCACCTCCATTCTGGCAAGAAAGGTGAGAGCAAAAGTCAATCGCTTATCACATGATCGGGGTACAGTAACTCCTGTACATGGCTGATCTTGAACGGATAGAAGTTGATTAATCTTTTCGTAAGATTTTCCATACTGTACTGTAAGGCATATCCATAATAAAAGGTAATTTTATTCCATATTAATTTGCATTTGTTAACACTCTATTTTCTATTACATAGCGCCAAATATTCCCCTAGCGGTGACTTTTGGAACTAATTTTTTTTCAGCGGAATCCTTCGTCCCCCGTCTCATTTAATCTTCCTACAAAATGTGGTGTCATTCTCGCAAATAGATCGCGCTACAGAACACTGTGAGCACTGTCAGTTTAATTATGGCCACCCGGTACATATAGGTTAGACCTTTCACAGATGACCCAGCTTAAGTTAAAATGGATAGTTTGATTCAGTTTGTCTTTTATTGCTTTCTGCACAAGTTGCCGTAATCAGAATTGATATCCAGATGCTTTCTGTGGATTTCATGTGTTCAGAATCGATGTGCAGAGACCTTCCCTTCAAACTTCCATACATCTGGATGTCAATTCTAAGTACAGAAATCCTGCAAACTAGTTCCAAAACAATTGTCACAAATTATTTTAGAAGACTAAATTATTTTATTTTGCCAGGGGCGTCGCCTTAGGACATTAGGTTCATACCTACAAATTTAAATCAGATAAAAAAATATTCTGGGGCTTTCTAAGATGGACAAAATTAAATTCTAAAATATGGACGAAAATCGTACAAAAAACCTTTTTATCTATTATTATCAGCACTGTTCGACTGCTTTAAATTTTTATAGTAATCAGAATATTCACCAGTTAGTACTAAAACAGTTGTCACAGATTGCTTTAGTAAGAGTAAATTATTATATTTTGCTTGAGGCATCGCCTTTGGGCAGGGGTCCCCAATTTGTCTGTCCCTAAGAGAATAGTTCTAGGATATCTAAAATGTTCTAGAATATCTGCTGGATAGCAGGCACCATTTACTTTTTGAAGGTGAATTTATAGTTGGATGCACATAATATGCAAAAAAAATTAGTTCAAATAATAAAACAACATATAAAAATTATTATTTCATTAAAAATGAGAAAACTTTCACATAAAATTTTATTGAAAATTATAATAACAATGAATTATTAATCATTGTTATGATTGCATAGCGGCAGGTGCCATGGTGCCCGCAGGCATAGTGTTGGGAACCCCACCTTAAGGCATTTGATTCATGCCTATAAATTTAAATCGGATAAAAATTACTTTTTTAAACTTTTTATTAGTTGTTTTCAGTTTTTGTCTTAGTATACCGGATTTTTGCTAGCAGGATTCATGAAAAGGCTTGCATTTCAGAGACATAAAATGACTATTATAGAACTTTATAATCACTGCTGATAAAGATGAGAACCTATACATGGTAATTTTACAAAACACCTGCAGTGATACATTGATTTAGAAGACCAATAGCCTGATGTAAATATCAAAACATACACTTGCAATCTATTGATAGTAAGTAGTATACTTTCATAGACATGCATTTACAGACAGTTTTGCTCATTTCCCTTTTTTCCATATATCAAGCCTAGAAGTTTCAGTTAATCTTACAAATAATACTCTATTAATATGTATCATATAAATGCACAGTATTAATGGATTTTAACTGCGTTTAATTCACTTAATCTAAACTGATATGTAAGATTTCATTCAGTTTAATAATTTTTTCAATTCATTAATAATAATTTTAAATTAGTAATAATTAGAGCCAGTGCTAGAATTTCTGCTGTCCAGGGCAATCTCTACGTCTTTTAAATTTGGTAACTTGGTCCAGCATCTTGCCTGTTAAAAACAATCAGTAACAACATGTGTGATTTGATATGTTAGAATTATTCATCTCATTGAAGAATTGCTTAGTAACCTTTGCTTCATAATAATCAAACCATTTGCTTAATAATAATCAAAAATAATTTCAGTTTTTCTTAACATTTTTATTAATTTATCATAAATTTTGTGTATTTTGATAAATTACAAAACTTACTTTCTAAAGATATTTAGTTTACTGTTTGTTACAATTCAACTGCATCCTCAATGCATCATAACATTAAACTTTCATTTTCTTAATTTTACCTATTTAGATACTACTTCCATATGTAGGGCGATCAAATACAAACGAGCTTTTAATGGCTGAACATCGAGATGGGTACTTGTATGTGTTTCAGCAGTTGAAGTCATTAGGTGGGGTTGCCTAGAGTAAGGGAACCACACCGCCACCTTGTCCCATGCTTTATTTAGTAGGCCTTATAATGAGAGAAGTGTGCCTGTCTCTAGTATAATTATAAAGATCCTCATCCATGAAAGTCTGAGACCAGCTAAAATTTACCACAGACTGCATGCCCAGTTCGGGAAAGCTATCCTTCCATGTCAACTGTAAACAGGGTTCGTATACATTTCCTTACATGAAAATTAAGGACTTTTAAGGACCATCAAAGAAAAAATTAGATAACATTAAATTAGGAACATAATTTCTTTAAAAACATGTATAAGTGTATTTTACACTAATAACAGTCACTATTTTAGAGATTTACATGATTATTATTAACTTATTTGATATTTATTTAAACACAGTCAACTACTATTATAATCACAATGTAAGAATATTTTGCAGATTAAAATAACTGATTTGTAAACATACAATTTATTTCCTTGGTTTTTTTGAAAGATACTAGAATAATAAACTGTACAATAAAAGATACAAAACATTTGTGCTTTTTTTAAATCTGAAATCTTTTCAGCTATTTTAACATCTAATTTATTTATGTCTATTTCCTTTTCTTTAACTATTCTTCTAAGTTCATTTGCTTTGATAAACAAATCAATGTTCATGCTGGTCTCAGCTTCATCTGCTAAAGCATCTACTTCTTCATTAATATCTTTAATGTCCCTTTGAAGAAATTTTTTCTTCTGCTTCATATAATCAATTTCTTCCTCAATGATATTTCTTTTCCTCTTTGAATTTTCAGATTTAGTTAAAGATTTTTGTTCTTCTAAATACTGCATATATTTAGACCTTGCAGAAGCTGCTGCTGATCTCATTTCTTTATTAATTTCGATATTAAGAACAA